CTTACCATGTCCGGGCTGCGCATGCGGTCCCATGCCATCAACTTGGTGGACTGAAGATGCAGTTTACAAACAATACATCTGCATTAGACGTCCCGCGAGCAAAGTTGACAAAAAGAGCCGCGATAATACGGAAGGTTTTGGTACATCTTCTGAGTCAGGTACTTGGAGCCTGATCTCGAGCCTTGGTAGATCAAGGCCTGCGTTCTCATTTGGGCTAGATGACCAAATGGAAAGGCCACAGTCTTTCGGTGACAAGACTACGAACTAAAGCACGCCGCATCCAATGCGACATAACGAGGAGGCCTCCGTTTGCTGATCGGCAATGCCGAGGTGTCACGGGTGAGTTGGAGGATGCAAAAAGGAGAGACGTGAAGTCAAGTGTCTTCACATCATGAGAAGATGCCCAAGATGCACTTCAGGACAATGAGGGCTGAGAGCTGAGGTCGAGTGGCGGTTTATGACACACATCAGTAATCATGTAGGGAACTGAACTTGCTAAAATCTCCATGCACCTACTCAAGGTCAGGCCTTCATGCGTGATGCGGACTCTCGTAACGCCAAAGGTCGGTGAACGTAGGTTACGAGCCCGTTGAGTATAACGCGACGCGACAGACCTCATCTTATCGGACTGGAAATTATTGCCTTCCAATCACAGTGCGTCGTCAAAAAATGATGCGCGACCACGGTATCCACCACCTCCGGTCTCATCGAAAATCCATCGAGGCTCGAACACGCAAAGACAGGGAGAGGCGAACTTGGGCATGTACCCCGACTATGAGGTTGGGCACACGATCGACGGAGTTATCAGAGAAGCGAGCGAGATTTGCATACGCGAAACATGTCCCCGAAAGACGCTAGTGAGTCGGCAAGTGCTGATTGGCTCGATGGACGGGACAGCGCGTGGCTGAACAACGTTCCGACGTCAACGGTCCGAATTAACATTTTCCTTCGCCGCAAAAGGCCCGTCCTGTCAGGAGAATTGCGACACGAACAGCAAGATTCCTTGAATCTAAGATGAGGGCGACTCGCGGATGTCAACAAACCAAGGCCTGCGCCTGCACCTACGCTGTGACGTCACCACTCTACGCAGAGCATCGGCGGTCGCCGGCTACTTTGAAGATGGAGATGAGTGTGTTCGTTGCGTACCGTGGAGTAAGAGAACGAGTTGAAGCTGTGGAGAAGCGCATATGTCTCGTCGCCCAGGTACCGACCATTCTGAGACTCTAGGTAGTATGTACCCGAAGTACTCATGACGAACCAATCCAATAGGGTTCTTTTCCTTACCCGAGTTTTCAGGTCTGCAGGTGTCGTCAACGCCCGATCCCCATAGCCTAGGTGCCCATGCCCAAGCTTAGCAGATCATCCCCTTGTTAATGCGTCCCTGCAATCCATATCAGGGACAGTCATGGCTGACGCCAAAAATACCCGTGCGAGGTTGACGCTGTCACAAATACACAACACTAGATCTTACATTTTTGGAGGACATCCATCGTTACCAAGGGACGATGGCTTGCGCAAACGGCTCCAAGCCGTTGCTCCTGCCTTGGGCAAACAACACTGTCTCCGCTGACGGCACTGTCCTCACCAGAGGCATTTCATTCGCTATCGGCACACCTCCGCAACCCTTTTCCTTGACGCCATCGACGCTTTCCGACAATCTCTTCATCAACAATGCAGCGGAGTGCGTGGCAGCTACGAACACCAGCTGCATTGGCCAGCTCGGTGGCATCTACGATAGTGCAACTTCGACTACGTTCAAAGAGGTAGACTACGCGACATGGACTGGCAGCAGAGAGTCCATCGATCTAGCATACGCGAGCTCTTACATCTTCTTCGACGATGCTGCGGCTTTTGGTCTCAAACCGGATGCGAATAAGTTCGCGACCTTTCCCATGTATACCAATGGATCCACCGATAGTAAGTCTATGAGAAAATTGGGTCTTTGCGGCACTGACGCGTTGTAGCAAGCGCAGACGCGCTCATGAAGAACGAGCCAAGCTATCGAGCAACTCTGCCTCTAGGAATGGACTCGAGCTTCTTGAACTACCTCGTGGACGCTGGCCAAGCTTCTTCCCGAACGTACGGACTATGGGCCGGATCAGAATCTGAAGAAGCACCTCAAGATGGCTTGATCGTTGTTGGTGGCTACGACGAAAGCCGCCTCAAGAGTGCAGCCACTACCTTTCCTATGTTTTCCGACTGTCCAACATGCGCTATCCTTACAGCCATCACGTACGATGTTGGCGGTAAGAGCACCACGCTCTTCGCTGACGCAAAGGACACTCTTGTCGTACATCTAGACCCTTTCTCATCTGACATTAGACTGCCAGCTGCTATGTTGGACAACCTTGCCGCGGCAGAGACTACCGCCTTTTGGAACGAAACCTCGCGTCACTTCGAGCTTCCTACCGACCCAGCTCCCGCAGGCACCATCACCGTCACGCTATCAGACATGGGCACTCCCGGCGGCGACGCATCCAAACCCTCAGTCGCAACTTACAAGTCCGTCATCCCAGCAACTGAGCTCTACAGCCGGCCCCGGGCATACAACGCCGCAGGACTGTACGAAGTGGATAATGCAACAGTCTTCAACATGGCCGTGACGAACCAAACCGGTCCTAGCACTATGACTATTGGAACCTTGGGCCTACCCTTCTTCACACAAAACTACCTCATCGTCGATCCCGACGCGCAAAACTTCCAGCTCGCACCTGCAGTCGTCACAGCAGCCGACCCCAAAGGCGCCGATGCGAAGGTCAAGCAAGTGTGTCGCGTCTTGCCAGGCGCAAAGGCAAAGACTCAAATCGGCCCTATAGTTGGAGCAGCAATCGGTGGCATCGTTGGTGCACTTCTAATTGTCGCTCTGGTCTGGTGGTTGCGCAGACGTAAGAACAACGCAAACGGCCAACGGCACTCTCGTGGCGAAAGCGACGCACCGACCGCGACATCGCAGAACCCAATCGTCCGACGCACGCAAGACCACGTTTCTCTGGACAGTAGCTCCCTCGACCTACCGCGCCAGATGCCTGCTGCACCTCCCTCCGCTATGGTGCTGAGCGACGGTACTACATTCCCATCCCCAATCTCCGGCCGTACAAAGAGCAAGCTCGGCGGCAAACATGAAGACCCTCGGAGGGGCTTGGTCCACGACAGCTTCAAAAAGGTCGACGAAGAGAACGATGGAAGGCTGTTGGATGAAAGACCCATGGGACTGAGCGAGACGATCCATTCACGGGGAACACTACCGAGGTTGGCAGCGGAGCATACGGTCGAATGATGATAGCGTTCTTGTTATTGCGCATACCCACACCCACACCAGCCTAATTTCCTTTTTGTCCTTACGACATTGTAATACCCCACTGCAGAACAATGAATAGGAATACGGATATTTACAACCACCCTGCCTGTACAATACCTTCGCCGATGAAGCTGGCTTCAACATAATACAAACTACTGCGTCTTGCAAATGAGCTACTGCTGCTGCGATTCTCTGTGTCAGCCCAAACGGTCTTGCCACTGTGCTCAACTTGCATGAGCATTCAGCCCTGAGCCCAAGGCCACCTACCTAGGTATGCAAGCTGACTGCGCTTTGACTGTGGCGACCCGTGGTCGAAATAGTTTCGAGTTACCTCGTAGATGCCCAACATGCACAACAAAAGTAGCTCGCGAAAAGACTTCAGCCTCGAGCGCGAAGCTCAGATATTTGGTGGATGCCGATGATGATGCACGGAAGCCTTTCCGCGACAAGCCTCACCCCTTTGGACACATGCGCTAGTTCAGAAACGCTTAGCGCAGCCCCGCAGAATCCGGAAGAGCCGCCTCCCAACCTCGTGGAAGGCGCAACATAGTTTGCTACACGATGCGTCCAGCCTCGGCTTCCCACCATCGAGAGTCCGTCTTCGATGAATCTTGTGCGCTCAGCCCTGAGGAAGTTGTCCTCTTCGTGGCATCGTGCCCTCAGATCAACGACGCATTTACAGATCTTGTCAAACTCGGCAGCCCTCTCCAGCAGGTCGCAATGCACCGCCAACCCCTACTTTACTCATCACGACTACTCGCGAGGCTTCTACTACGTACGCAGATCTGTTCCGCTGGGTCGCTACAGTGACAGTACGCAAGCAAAAGATTCTGGCCTTGCGATGACGTGTGCGACCAGGTTCACGTCAGCAGTGCATTCTAAAAAGAGCACGTTCGAAACTTTCCACGGGCAACTGCAGCATCGAGATATAGTTTCGCCCCCGAAGTCCTCACGCTAGCCTAGCTCCACTGCCTCGTGGAAGCGCGTCATTCCGTTTGGTGATCGTGTACCCGCCGTCGGTACGTTCTGGTGAAAGCTGGCATGCCTTGTACAATGGCTTATGATCGGCGCGGAATCTGACTTTCACCAGGAAGCAAATATCTAGAGCATGGATTACGAGATCGGGGGCGTAACTACGGGACTGACGAACTGTGAAATTTCGGTCGCATATTCAATGAAACCTCCTACAGCCATGTAGAGTGTTGGAACCGAGATGCCTTGTGCCATGCTCTTCGAACAGGCGGTACGGGTCTTAAATGAGTACGAGCCCTTCTGCGCAGGTAAGCGCGATAGGTGTGATGGAAAGATGCGACATAGTCTCGCGTGTATCTACAACAGTCCTATCCGTTGAATGACCGTTCATGTAGCAGGCGACCATGACTACGCTCGACCGTCAGCAGAGCGTACCCGCATTCGCATTAAACCTACGATGAATGAATGCGTAGAAACATACGGGTGAAAGTGCTTGTCGCAGTTGGCTCTCGGGCCATGGCTCTCCACGGTGGAGACTCGATAGAGCAATCAATGTTCTTCACAGCAACCCTGAGAGGATAGAAGTACTGCCCACTACAGGAGTTGACAACCTACATCGACTTTATCCAAGCACTCACCCGTAGTCATGAGCTCAACTGCTCCCTTGGAGGTGTACATCAAGCGAGCCTTAGGAGATCCCACTGCCACTATATTCAGGCCCAGCATTCACATGCCACCGCCATATTTGATCAAGGGGAGGTTCAACTACATCTTGACCTTCCGGGGCTGCTTCAATCCGCCTCATCAAGGACACAAGGAAACATTATGCCACGCCTTCTTTCGAGGTGGGGAGGGTATACACCTGATAGCCGCCATCATCTTCCCTTTGGACGACTATTCCGTAGCCTCGAAGTACAGACACGGAAAACCGGGCTCAAAGGACCTAGTTCTTACCCTACAAGAGCGTCTTAACCTCATCAACAATAGTGGTCTCCATGGTGGCTGGCACTGGTGTCACCCACGTGGTGAGCCAGGCTCCGAAGCATTCAAGGACCGACTCATATCAGAGGCCGCAACAGATGGCTTCAACATACGGTTCATCACTTTAATTGGACCTGATCACGTTGATCAAGAATATGGGTCCGCCGGATACTGGGGGCCTACTATAGTCGTTGGTACTGGGGATCCAGAACGCACCAGCCTACGCATGGAGACGGAAACGGGACTACGAAAATTGGCAGCTTACAACGACTGGCGCACCGAAGCACTCGAAGAACTTTTTATCCAGCAGTTGGGAGCTGGCGGTAACTTGACGTGGCTGGAGCAGAAGTTATCAATGCTTTTTCCGCGCGCAATGACGAAGCTTCCGGGCGACCGTACGTACGATGCCATGTCTTGCACAACCACAGCTAATCTTGATGCAGGCGACGAGCGGCTCCAGATGATCAAGGATCGACTACGTACAGGTATCTGGCGCCTTGGACAGACGCGAATGTGTCACCGCTCTACAGGACCACCTACAGAATGGCTGCGTTATGTGCCCACACGCTTCTTCGGTATGACAGGCGGTGTCTGGTTTCTCGGCTACAAAGAGGAATCACTATCATCAACACGACTTCGCCGCGCGCTTGCAGCCTCCAATGAGGGAGAACAGCTCAGCAAGTCCATCACGGACGTTGCACTCAGCCCACGGCTGCTAACCCGATATGTAAAGGCGCACGCCGCTGATACGACCCCTAAACGCAAACGTCCCGCGGAAGAAGACAAAGGAGCTGAGGCGCAACGCGTGGAGCGAGAAGGACAGCAACGCCAGTTCAAGAGGCTAAAGCAAGACTTTGCGCGAAACGAGAATGCGTATAGAGCAAACCAAAGGATTGCCTGGCGGGGTCGAGAGAAGAGCGATTATCGTGATTGGAACCGATTGGAATGGCAGGATCGTAGGGATGTTTATAAAGCGGAGCGCGCCATGACTCAGGACTGGAAGACGCTCAAAGATCCAATCAGGAAGGAGAATATCTTGTTCGAGTATTTGGAGAAGATGCTTAGAGAGAGGGAAAGGAGTGCGGATGCGCGTGCTAAGGTTGCGGCGGCAAAGCCAGACCAGGTTTAGTTGTCTTTCGTGTAAGGATGCAGCATTGAACATCATGCTTCATACTACACAAATTCCTGTTCTGCGGTTTGTAATTGGCGCTCTCAGGTGCAACAATGGGATTCGGCATTCGCTACGACGCGATGTGTGTAGGATAAAAAGGCTGACATCGTGGGACTGCTTACATGGATTGCTACACGAAAGGGCGGATGTTGCATTGTGGACGACGGTGATACCCGTGATACAATAAGCCTCGCGGAATGCAACTCTGATTGGTATCGCGATCTACGTTCAGGTTGGTAGACGCAGCGCCGGTCAGATCATGTGGGGTCTGCTTACATAATTCACGTGGCTGGCTTGTGAGCTGGACGCGTCCGACGCGACACCCCTCTTCATCCTTCCATCTCCGCTTCCACCGATGCCATATGCCTTGAGTATGTGCGCACCAAAATCTCGCGACTTATGTTCAGATCGAACGTATCAGCTCCTCGTCATGGATCGGAGTTTATCCAAATCAAGGTCCTCATATTGCGATGAGCAGCGTCTCCCTGGGTATCCATGTATGCCTTCAACGGGCGATACCTTGACGACACAGCCCCACCTCAACAAAATATGCCGTCATATCCTTCATCAAGAACGATGGAATGACTACGATTCTACCTCATCGGCAAAAGAGGCTCCAGTTGCTTTGACGCTAGCTAGTAGCTAGATGCACATGCCAAAATACGGGTTCAGCGGCACCTAAAACTCAACACGAACATCAGCTCTGGCAGATGAGAGCGCGCAACGTGTTTGGTGATACCAAATAACCTTCTTCGTACGCGTAGGTCCTCCTGGGTGGCCAGATACTTTTGCATGTACCGAGCAAGTCCGTGTCGTCCTCCACCGGTCGTTTTCGCGGTGGCTTAGCTTCCCCGCACTTCTGGAAAGCGCTCTTCGAGCCGTCGCATTGGCACCTATCATTGGCATTGTCAACAATGCGACATCACCTGTAAGCTCCGGCCCGACGCGCTGGGCGTGCTTACATTGAAGTACGTGGATCGACGTTGGACCGTGATCTGGCGTTGCCCCAGGCTCGGCAATGACGATTCTGCCTTGGCTAGACATAGCCTTCCACTTTACGAGGATGCCCACGCGTTCTCATGCGGTGCCACACATCGCCTTCTTCTATCAAGCCTTGGTGGTACCAAGACTGTGGCAAAGTACATCGCCATGCTGCACGTGTTGTTCCGCCACCCCGTCGTCGTCTGCTCGCGTAAGCAAAGCAGCCTTCGTCCTACACACCCACCGGATCTTATACCACTCTTGCAATGGACCGGGATCCAGGATTGATCGCAAACAGCTCCAAGCTTATCTAGAAACTCTGTACGACATGAAAGGCGAGCATCACCGGTTTTCTCGGAGTCAGCCGGAAATCACGGCGTGGCTGACAGCAAGTCTTGGGCTACTTTGACTTGCTCTTTCCAACATGAGACGGCTTTTACCAAGGCGCAGGAAGTCTATACCCAAGGTCTTGGCTTCCGCTGCCTTGGTTCAGCTTCCGGTGGCAGTATGATGGACATGATATAAAGAGATGTACTCACTCTCGTCACATCTGCTGTACCTTCTGATCATCTCAGTGCCGTGTAGCCCCATCGCTCTATTCTGGGCTGAGCTTCCCTAACAGTATTGCAACTGTCTGTAGTGATCATACCAGAGGAAAAGCAAGTAAAGCTTCAACATGCGGTACCTCACAGCCGCCAAGGCATCTGCATATGCCTTGCTTTCGTTCTCGTCCATCGCCTCTGCCTGGCCAACGTACAATTTGCACAACTCTCAGTTCGCGAAACGCCAAGGCCCAGGAGATCTTCCTTCCCAGGGAGGTCAAACTGAAGAACCAGTCTTCAACGAAGAGTACGACTTCATCGTCGCAGGTGGTACGTTCTACTCCTTGTTCGCCACGGGGATCATCGGCAAACGGATCATAGCCGTCGATACTGTCCACAGGGTCGGACACTTTCGAAGACCTTGCTAACACCAAGCAGGAGGAACAGCTGGTCTTGTCCTGGGTAATCGCCTTACTGAGTCTGGTCACTTCTCCGTGCTAGTTCTCGAAGCTGGGCCCAGTCCCGAACAAGTTCTGGCATACGAGTCGCCTGGCGGCAATCAGTTTATCAAAGGCAGTGTAATCGACTGGGGTCTGCTTACCACACCGCAAGAGCATCTGAACAACCGCACCCTTCAGTATCTCCGCGGACGAACTCTTGGTGGCTCGAGCACGACCAACGGTCTTTACTACGCGCGAGGCTCGGCCAGCGTATACGATCATTGGGCCAAATTGGGTAACCCTGGATGGAGCTGGAACGATGTCTACCGCCTCTTCAAGAAGAGTACGAGGTTGAATGCGCCCACCTCGACGGCGGAGCTTTCGGCGTTCAGCCAAGAATACAAGACGTTTAATGAAGATGCCTATAGCGATGGGCCACTCCAGCTCGGCTTCCAGGGATACGTTCCACCATCTACCGAAGGGTTTGTTGTTGCTTGCAGCGAAGCTGCCGACATCCCTATCGTCGAGGACCTTAACCTCGGAGACGGCGAAGGTGTCAAGCATGGAACGACGACGATGGACAACATGCTGCGAAGGAGCTCTAGCTACGACAGCTTCTATCAGCAAGCTCGAAATCGAACGAACCTCAAGGTGCTGCATGACGCTCCTGTCACCGGCATCGTCATGAGCAAGCCATCATCGACGAACTCCACTAGCAAGCCACGTGCCATCGGTGTCAGCTACATCAACCAGCTCACTGGGTTCGTGAGCCAAGCGAGAGCACGCAATGAAGTCATCGTCAGCATGGGTGCCTTCCACTCACCGCAGCTCCTCATGGTCTCAGGTATTGGTCCGGCCGACGAACTTGAGAAGGTCGGTATCACGCCCGTTGTTGTCAACGAGAACGTCGGCCATCATCTCAACGACCATTCAGTCTTCAGTATCATGGCACGTGCCCAGGATAATGCTTCCACGACAGACATGTCTCGCACACCCCAAAATCTGCGCGCTGCTCAGGAAGCATTCTATCAAAACCTCACCGGCCAATACACTGCTCCTTCCGGTGTCACGAACGGCTTCCAAAAGCTCAGCGAGCAGCAGCTACGCGACATCGGCGCTCAAGCTGTCATCGACGCTGGCCTAGCGAACCAGACTCACATCGAGTATCTATTCGAGAGCGTGTGGTACCCCTGGATTCCAACACCATACTGGGCCCCACTATCAAACGACTCCTACATCTCAGTCACCGCATCAAGCATGGTCCAGCTCTCCCGCGGCACAGTCAGCCTGCGCAGTGCCTCCATGTCCGACAGCCCCCTCATCAACAGCAACTACTACGCCGACCCCACCGACAGCGCCATTGGTATCGCTTCATTCAAGTACCTCCGCGCTATCCTTCGCCACCCGGCCTTGTCGCGCTTCACTATCGGCCCGAATTCTGGCGAAGTCAGCCCTGGTCCGGCTGTTGCTGATGACGACGACGAAGCTATCCTCGAGTACATCAAGGCGAATACCATTCCCAACTGGCATGCTACCGGTACGAACCAGATGCTGCCGCAGGAAGATGGTGGTGTTGTGGATAGTAGGCTGAGGGTGTATGGTGTTGATGGACTGAGAGTTGTTGATTGCAGTATTGTACCGGTACTTCCGGATGCTAATATCTTGGCGAGTATCTATATGGTGGCTGAGAAGGGTAGTGAGATGATCAGGGAAGACTGGGGTGATGCGATGTATTGATGAGCATGGAGGTGAGAGGAGATTCTTTGATATTGTACAAGAAGAAGTATGAATCATTATGGCCACTGAAAATGCCCTGAGCACACACCTCCTCGACTGTAGCACCTATTCCCATACATGTCTTCCAAACTATCAAAATCAGGGTGTTTTATGCCGTCGGACGCACCCGGAGATGCTCACAGCTCTCCTACATACCGCCTGCCCACAGCACGATGGCCTCCGCCTCCTTACGGACGACGGGGTCGTTCGGTACAAGTGATATAGCTCCACGGATAAGGTCCAGAGCGTAGACAGCTTGCAACCTATCACCCCAAATCCGAATGCACACAGCGCGGCGGTACAAGATCTTTGCCTGGAGCATCGTAGGACATACCCAGGTGTATCCTTCTTTCCACTGTCCTGGTTCAACACACTTGGCAGACGTTTCAAGGCAGGATAGGGTGAGGTTCCTGTACGATTGCCGAATTGCCAGCGGTATGGATTCGTTCTTGGAGTCGGGGCCCCACTGCATGATGTTGACCAGTGCCGAATTGAGTCCAAGTGAGCACTGCAGCTCAGCCATCTGGTCGATCCAAGGCTCGCCGCCAATCTTGATGAGCTTAGCCCAGGAGTTGCCCTCGCGCATACGATCGATCTCATGCATGCTTGTTCCCCAAGCGGAGAACGCCTCCATCAGTCGACCTTCGCGGTAGAGTTGAGCACCGCGGTCTTTGCTCTCCCTCATGAGTTTGACGATATGGTGTGGGTCATTCCACTTTTCCAACATCATCAGCCGTTTCAGCTCCGTTGCGACATCAGGTGAGACATGACCATGGACTTCGACTTTTTTGAAGTCTCGTAGGCCAGTCAATTCCCAGAGTAAGTCCCTCTGGGTAACCTCGGAGAAGAAGTCTGTCAAGTCGTCTTGGTACCATGGGCCTTTATGAGCGAGCATCGGAGCCACAGTTATGATGAAAGTCGCATTCTTGGCGAGCCCTGGTACAATGGTTTTTGCCATCTCGAAGCTGCCACAGAACTTCTCAAGTTGCTGACCTAAGATGACTACGCTGGCTGTTTGACTGGCGCCTACGTGCGAACTGGGCCCCCCATCTGCGGAAGGCATAGTGAGCTCCTCATCTGCGGCAGACATAGTGATATCGACAAGTTGTCTGCAATCAGATGTTAGGAAACTCAGTCAGAATAAGAAACCTTGTTACTTTGACGTACTCATTGAACTGCGCTGCGCGTTCTCCACTTGCGACGACGGGGACGTTTTGGCCAGCGATGATGTTATGGAGAGTGCGTTTACCCGGGCAGCTGATCCGAACGAATCTGTTGGTTTTTACCATGATGTCGTAGGCTTCTCGATGAACCTGGCTGTTCACACGAAGGATGGCAGAGTCGTTCCACTGTTGAGCGGGGAGAAGTTTGAACTCAAAGCTGTTCTTGGTAAACAGATCCTCGGGGATCTTGCGGGCAGGAGGTGGGGCGGGTCCAAACGAGCAGAGTAGCAAAGTATAGACTCTGTTTCTGAGCTCTCCAGGAAGGTCCATGAAGCGAAAGGACGCGTTGATATCGGCGGTAGCCATATTGGCGTCGACTGTGGCAGTCATCTTCGCGACGACTGAGTCAAAGTCGTGTGAGGATTCGTTGTGCAAAGGACGAAGGTGGGAGCAGTCTGTGATTTCCTTTCTCGCGTGCGCTCGAGGCGGCCTAGCGCTTGGTAAACAAACATTGGAGTCCGAGCGTGGCGGTGACGCAGCGGCAGCTCACTAAGGCGCACGTCGGAGGCGAGACAGAGATGAACGAGCATTTTTTACGTCATTGCTGTGACATCAATCCACATTGCACAAGCCATTGCATGCAACCTCGAGTTAAGAAGACATGAAGAACAGTATGCACAGCTACACAATTAACACATGGAGTGGACGAATACGAGAGGATATCGCGTCTACTTCAAACACTTTTCTCGTACATGTATCTGCTAAAGAGTTCTGCCTGAGACGCAGAAACGTAGGTACCAGCGCGTCTCGTGGGAAAAGACTGGATGAGAGCGCAACCGTTACATTACATATCGATTGTGATGTCTCCATTGTCAGACAGATGGATGCGAATTGAATCCCTATCGGCATCGAAGTGGCTGCCAGAAGCTCTCCATCTGAGTATGGCGTCATGTACTTTCATGATATCTCTGTCGTGAGGCGAGAGTTCGAGAGCGACTTCCATGAACTCGAGTGCGAGGCCCGCGTTGCGACTATTGCCGCCTAGGAGAATCATTATCGCTTGTCGGTAGAGTAGCTTAGCAAATCGAGCATCTGAGGGCTCCCATTCGCGACCTTTCTGCCAAAGATTTGGCTCCATGCATTCTCCCACGGCGGTCATGGTACGCTTTAAGATCATGTCGAGAGCGTCCATAAGCCCTCCATGTTTGCCGTTCTCCATCTCGTCGTTGAACATCGCTATGATAGCGTAGCAGAGACCCAAGCAGCATGAGAACCTTAGCTCAATCATTGCATCGACGAATGAATCCCCTCCCAACAAGACGAGGTTGCCCCACGACGAAGATTCGCGGATACGGCCGATCTCCACCAAACACTCATTCCATGACCCTAATACTTCCCTGCGAGAGTCATAGTCCCACTTCACATCAGCGTGATCTTTCAGTCCTTGGAGTTGGTGAAAAGTTTCAACAGGATCCGACCATTCATCCTTACACATGTCCGCCGCCGTTGCGATCGCAATTTCGGACGACACGCGACCGTGTACGTGGACATTCTTGAAGCCCCGCATGTATGTCTTGAATGGGGCGAGCAGGCTGAGTTGTATTTCTTCCGAGACAAAGGCGTCGAAGGAATCTTTGTAGACTGGAGTGGGCTCGCCGAGCAGGGGCGCAACGTCCACGTCGATTGTGAGACTTGTATCAAAGCCGCTTCGATTGATATTTTCACAGAGAGGTTGTAAGTCTCCGGCGAGGAGCATGACGCTCATGGGCGGCTCATGCGAAGGCGTTGACGCCGATAACGTTACTGATAGCATGTGGCCCTTGAACTGAGAGATATGCAGATCATTGAGGGTGATGACCGACACATCACCCTCCTGTAGGATTTCCATCAATGGTAAAGGCAGATATGCGCGGACAGCGACGAAACGATTTACCTTCACCATGACATCGTAGGCTTCAAGATGGACTCGACGACTGGTGAGGAGGATGGCTGTGTCGGCGCGGTGGCCATCAGATGCAATAGGCAAATGGAAGTTGTCGACAGTCTGCTCGACTGGGTACCCGAATGAACATAGCAACAGGGTGTAGACTTGATTGCGCAGTTCTCCGGGTAAGTCCATGAAGCGGAAGGGTTGAGCGAACTTGGACATTATAGCGACTGCGCGCCACTTCTAATGGCGGAAATGGTCTCGGAGCTTTAGCGAAACAGTTCTGTTCGAGGCAACGTAGAAACAACGACGGGTAGAATCAATTTCGGGATCTGTAGCGAGCTATGAAGCACGAGCCACCGGGTCCTAGCTTTCCCAGGCACCAGTGCGGGAAGCCAATACCCTATGATCGCTTCGTAGGAGCCAGTAGATTACTTTGAAAGGCGTTAGAGCGCGTATTGAAGTCTTTGGATACGGAATCAAAGCCGTTGTATCCACCCCAGTATGTTCTCACGCTCTCTCAGAAGCACACCGTCACCCGGCTGCGACACAAGAGCCTTGTCGATGAAGCTCAAAGCCCGATTCGCATTCTGCGGGTTCCCTTCCAGCCTCATGAACATTGCATACCGATAGCGCAGCTTGGCGAACTGCTGAAGCGAAGGTCTGTACTTGTAACCAGGTTTCCAGAAGCCTGGCTTCAACGACCGAGTTGCAGAGTTCAGCGCGCCATCGGCCAATAGCTCGGCGCCAAACGCGTTCTTCTGCATATTCGCGATCTGAATGTGGGCGATGTTGAGCTGCATCAAGAAATATAGCGGAGCGATTTCCTCAACGAATGCATCACCTCCCTTGCGAATTAGATTTGGCCAGGAACTGGACTCACGTAACTGCTCCAGATCGTAAACGGCGTCCTGCCAACCAATGACGGCCTCCTCAAATTGGCGGTCTTTGAACTGTTGTGACCCGCGATCTTTCGCGGCCGCAAACTCGGCGAGAACAGCCGCCGGATTGAAAGATCTGTCTTGACCAAGACTTAGACGAACGGTAGCTGCCAGAGCACTATCGACATGGCCACTAATTTCGACGGTCCTGTATCCAAACAAATTGGCCATGAACGGCATGAACAGTGTTTCCTGCGTCTTCTTGGTGAAGAAACCGTTGAGGTCGGGTGATAGTGTGTGACTTGACGCAAGGTCTAAGACAGGCGCCATGGTGATAGAGATCTTGATCTTTTCGCTGAACCCCGGATCATGTAAGTCCCCATCGTTTAATGCCTTGCAAAACCGGTCCAGATCGCTGTAAAGGATCATCGCGGTGACAGGTTCACGTAGGCTCTCGGGTTCAACCGGGGAACGAGCGAATCGTGATTGTTTGAAACCAATGTGCACACCAAGCACGTATCCCTTGAATCTATCAACAATGTCTTCGTCGATGGCGATCATCCGGACCGCTTGGCCTGCCATAGCAAGGCGCATGGGGAGCCCTCGCGACGATGTGACCTTTACGAAGCGATTGGTTTTGACCATGGCACTATAAGCCTCGCAGTGTGTTTCTTTGGATACACGCAGTATCGCGGTCTCAACCTGATGTTCTGCAGGTGTTGCGGTGAGGAATGACGTGGGTTGAATCGTTATCGTGGTCGGTGGCGGGCTGAAGCTGCATAGTGCGATGCGATAGATTTTGTTGCGTATCTGAGGGGCATCAAAGTCAGCACGAAGCACATTGAGGGGATCTGAAGGAGCCTACCTCTCCAGGGAGGTCGCGGAAGCGGAATGGAGTCGACGACGTTGCACTAGCCATCATGGGTGAGGGAAAGTTGCCTGGCAAGTTGGAAGAAACGCAGGATCAACGTATTGTCGTTTCGATGATGGCGCCAAGATCTGCTTTGGCCTCAGTATTGAATCAGGACTTGAATGCTGAGGTGTCAGTAAGAAGACGCGGGGAAGCTTACACGCTAATTTGAGGTTTCACGCTAAACGCGAAGACATGTGACTTAGCGCGACGAGGTTTGTCAGTCATCTCTGTCTGGTGCGCATCCTCCTATACCTAATCAACACCTCCTCCTAAACGCGGTCTAAATTTCGGTTTCGGTACCGTTGCAAATCGCACCACAATCGAACGTTACCGTATTCGTATGTTCAATGCCCGCCTCCAACACAACAACAAAAGCTACTTAACGCGGCTTCTGTGCGGTCTGCGAACTCCAGAGCGACAACGTTGCGGTCCGCGTCGCTCCTCACGACGAAACGCACTGCGGCCTTGATACACTCCATCGCTATCCCCTGTGGGCGCTAGAAGATAGCTCTTCCGGTCTTGCAAAACGATCGATGCCATTTAGTCCACATCATACGTGAGTAGACTACCTTCCACGATAAACATTGTCTTTTTCACGTGCAGCACGCTCCGCATCCTCCCCTACACTGCTGTGCCCCGTTTCATATAGCATCAGCGCGGTAGGTACAGCCTTGAAGGTAGCACGAACAGTCGCCAGGTTCAAGACTTCGTTCTCCCCGCCCAAGTCCCTCTCTGCGCACACGAGCAGTACAGTGTTGTCTTCTGTTGATCTCTCGTCCATGATGGCAAAAAGGTCCGTGAAAACTTCCGACTCTGTATCCTCGCGAAGCTTCAAGAGCAGTTGGTGACATTCCTGGGGCGTCTTTCCAATAAATGGGGAGTTTGGGTCGCTTCCGTCTTCTCCTGGTACCCCTGATGTCTCGTCGTAATAGTCGTCAATGCTGTCCACAAAAACAATGTTCCACATTTCCTCCTCGTCGCGAGTTTCCTTGATGAAAAGATCTATAGTCTGCATCCCTCGCTTGGAGTCAGTGCTGAGGCGAAGCTAGGGAGAGGATACACCCCACTGACCTCTTCGGGTAGCCGAGCGGCGCAAACTACAGGGTACATTAAACCCATTTTTGGAAGTTTAGGTGAGTAGGAGATCAGAAATATCAGGTAACGGCTAAGACGAAAGAATTCAACAAGTTCTCACGGTAGTACAGTGGTATGAACACTCGGCGTGATGGAGGAGAACTTGTGTAAGACAGCATGTGGGATCTTAGCAGTGTGACGTAAGTGCTCTCTTAGGTTTTTACCGTTTCCTGATAAAGAATCATTATGGGTGCGGGGCACGCTACGGTATCTCCCCGCTAGCTTCCGGCTATCACGGCCGTCTGCTTTGGCGTTAAAGCTCCGCAATATCTTCCGCCTATTTACGAAGCTTTGTAGAAGCCTGATTACATTCTCATTTAGCGCTGATAATGCGTGACGCTACAGACCGAAACGCGGCAAGAAGCGCATCCTTCCAAGGTTGCATTTCGCTTGATAGGCAGCAGTCTCCATCTACAAGTATCGCGCGTTGTATCTTACACGATCTCCAGGCCCAGAATCCGATGTTAACTTCTCAACGGCATTGTCGTTGTATTGCAATCGAGTGAAAGATGGCCAGTACCTGCCTACCCCACCTTCCGGACGAGTTGTTCATCCAAGTCCTCCAAAGCGTCGACGACCCATTCGTGCTCTGGGTTACATGCCGTCAAGTATCGCAAGCCTGGAGAAAAGAGGCCGAGCGCACATTCCAAGCGACCTTTCTTCCCATCCTTCACATCGAGTGGACCCACGTTCAATTTGGTCGGATAGAGAAAAACCTCATCGCTACCACAGACGAACATTCCATTGACCCACAATCTTCAACGCTTTCTCTCCTTCTGCGCCCAGGCCAGCCGCGTCCGGAGGAACGGTCTACCCTGTGGCAAGATACAGCCTCATGTGGGAAGTTGGAGCACGATGCCACATGGATCAAAGCGTACGGTGACGTAGCTATGTGGACAGCTGGCTATGGCTTTGAAGAGCTTGTACAGGCCATCTGGTTTGATGCGCCGGATGGACGGTATACTTTCGTCGGTGGTGCGGAAACGCGTGCTTTCGACCTTAAGTTCCCTGCACAAGAGCAAGACGGGCGTTTCAGCTGCCGAGTCACATGCGACTGGAAAGCGTTGATGAATGCGCTGTTCATGGAGGAGAGATATGTACGGCGGCACCAGGATCCAGGTCCATCTTTTTACGAGATTGCGGAGGAAGGCATATGCGCGAATTTGGTCAAAGCTAAGCATGGTGTCATCACCAGGACTACTACATCGGACCCAGATGCGTGGGAAAAGGCTATTGCGTATGAGAAGGAGCTATACGAAGTGGAACTTAGGAGGCTTTTGGGGACACATTGCCACCACAGTGAGGACTACAAAATTCTTTATGCTGCAGCCTTCCAGCAGAGGCTACGTCTTGCGTTCAGCAGGGAGGGTAAAGACCTTTACAATGATGTCTTTGATCACGGGTGCGACGCCAATACGCCACTGAGTTTCAACCTCGAGAAAACTGGCTGTCGGTGGATGATGCAGTGTAGGCTTGATAGACTTTACGCCTTCGCCAAAGGGATTTGGGAGAGGAAATTCGGAAAGTTGGCAGGGTCGAGTTACGAAATCGTGGCGGGCCAAGTGTGATGCTTGTTACAGTACATTGTAGTCCACCAAATCAAACCAAGACAGATCGTCAGTCTTGTCACACGCTTTATCTCGATCTATCGTGTGGCCTGGGGAAGACAAGTCGGCAAGAATGGTTTCTATCAAGTCGTGTAATTGGTCATCCGCAAATTCACGCCATATAGCGGCTAGCCTGTCATCGTGCAAGCGGCTCTTGATGGATGCGTCCAATCGTTCGGGTAACACGCGAAGCAGTTGTCGAGAGGTGTTGTGCAACTTCGCATTGCGATAACCTATCATCGCGATCTGGATATTCCGGTACTGCGCTTTGCGTGCCGACGTCCAGTCACAGTTAGTAGGCCAATACAATAATAGGGAGACATAAAACTCACAAGCTCTTCTCAGCTCCTTCCCATCAGCGTCTACGAATATAAGCCGGTAGATCTCACGGCATCGCTCCTCTTCTGACTTCCCCGCTGCACCTTTCTTGGATCGCATCGCTTCGAGTGTCGCATGGCTTAGAGTCGAGATCTCTGGGCTTGGCTTTCCCGGAAGCTGGTATGGCTGGATATTGCGCTCATGCATGGCTAGGTCTTGTTTCCCTGTTGCGTTTCCCTGAAATGTAGCCCCGCATCGTTCACATGTATAGTATAGGTGCACACGTTCCAGATGTTGTTTGAGTCTGTGGATACCGAGGAAGCCTGGCCCGACGCAAGAGTCGTTTTCACAGCGTTGTGGGTTGCGTACGTAGAAAGGGCATGCGAGGCCGGGGTTGGTGGTATCGCAACGGCGGCGTCGGGGCTTCTTGCGGGACGGTGAGTTCCGATCGTTGGTAACAGTGTCTGATTTGGGCGATATCTGGCGGTCGGCTTCGTTTGCGCGTTTGCGTGGTGCTTTGTCTACGTTAGATGTCTTACTTTGAGAGCCGTAGCCGCTGTCGAGGTCTTGTCGTGTCACGTTGGTGAGTGTGGATGACGTTAAACTCGTCTTCGTTAGGGCCGAGGTTATTGATGACGACGCGCCGCATGAACTGGTCGTTTTAATGCCGGCATCGTTGCGAGAATGTGCGATGAAAGGCTCGTCAATACCATATGTTGCCGGCAAGTTGTTGTGACATCCATGAGCCAGGTCCGCCCTATCAACCCCGAGGCCTGGCACTCTCTCACCATCGATCGACATCAGCGTTCTCGTGTCATCGTGACTGTCAAACACCTCCACAGCTTCCACCTCTTTGAAGCCATCATAGAATGATGCAAATGACGATAAGTTCTGCTGAACCGCAGAGACCAAATCATCCGCTGCCCGTAGTCCTAGAGAATCCCCCATGGTCGGCACTTTCACACGAGCCATTTCTGAACCCTCGTAGGTTATGCTATCATGTATTGCGCCGTCGGTCGTAATTTCCAACGCGGAAGGATAGTGACAAGCGTAATTGTCAAGAAAACTGGTAGCGTCGCACATGGAGCATGCAGCCCATAGTGAGACACGGTTCTCAGCGAAGCCGCATTGACAACATCTCCACATGCGCACATGTTCGACATGCCCGTTAGCAAGCGAGTAAAGTACGCTCTCTACGCAGTGCGCGCATCGCCAGTGTGTACCTCCAGAACGGAAGAGGGTCGAGGTTGAGGGTCTGGTCTTCGAATAATCAGGAACTGGAGGGGCTATCGCATCGGTAGAGCTGCGCGGGAAGTCGAATGTATCACATAAGGTTTCCATGATGAGAATATGTCGGAGTCGCGGATATCTTAGGCCCTAAAGTCGACGAGGACGCTACAATTGTATTGATCAAGCGAGCATCACTTCCAGCAATGTGCCGAGACGTCCAAGCACCTACCTTGAACGCGCAAAGTTGCGCAAACTCTCAGCCATGGGGCTTTGCGCGCAAAATGCTTGGTCGTTGACACGTTCAGCTTCCCGCATGATGCATATAAGCAGAGACGTATACTAATCAGGAGCGGTGGTACGACCTTGCAACGGTGACACGCAGCAGCCGACCTGGTGTTCGAGGATACCAGCTGGACGATCGTTGCCGGTCCCCGAGTTCTCGTTGGAATGCGAGGGTGTTTCTAACCCTTGGAGCGGCGTGAACAGCTCGGACGCATTGATGGGAGACATCGACTGAGATCAAAACGAATCTGTAAGCTGTCAAGACAGCGGATCTGACGATGGGGTTTTCGAATGGTCGTCATTGCCGCTATGCCTGGCCGGCAGAACGTCGGTGCAGGGTCCATGGTCACCCACCTTCACAGGGCCAAAGCGCAGCTTGCAGCGCTAGCACGCGATCATGTGACCGTTAGCGCGCCAAGCCCACAACGCCCATATCAACCTCGCGCAGCCCGTCCCCTCCTTCGCTCCTTAGCTCTCTTTGCCTTTTGGCTTAGGTACGTCCCCTTCTACAAACACCTTGGAGACACCTGCTGACTCACCCCTTCAGATCAAGTGTAGTATCTGTTCTTTTCAGTTTAATCTCTGAAACGTAAGCCTTCCCTCGCCTATTACCCTTTTTGGCATCGCGCTAACTCCTCCAAGGTCACTACGGTGACTTCAAGATTATTCTTATTTTTGTACTCAGGTCTTGGGTCCCTGGGCTTGCTCATACTCCGGACCACAGTGTCGCCAGTATCGCACTATCTCTGGCTGACGCGACCACTTTTTCATTGAGACTTCTGGCTTGCCAGTTGCTTGAGGAAGAAGCTTGCTTTTTACCTTTTCTATCACTGCTCAGTTGGTCATGAATCGCGAACTCGACTGTCCTTCGGTGAGAGCATGGTCATTTGTGATGCTGTACTGACCGCTCCGAGATTTCTGCCAACATGCACAAAAGCTCTTCCAGGCTTCACTGACAGCAAGCTGAGTTAGGTCCATGTGCCGAGACCTTCTCGGGTTACCGTCTTGAAGATGCTCGTGTGTAAATGCTGACTTGTCGCTGCTATCGGGCAGCAGAGCAAAGCTGGGTCAACTGCTCGAGCCGAACTGTGGCCATGTGCAATGGCACGGTGAATAGTATCATCATTAAAGCTTCCGCTACTATACTCTATTAATGTTTGTCTCTAAATAGGCTGAGTAATCTGTGTATGCTTTCTTGTCCGGGAAGCGGGAATATCCAATTTTGTAAGCTTTATTCTGTTGCGTGGTTGTACGCTAGGCTTCCTCCACTTCTAATTCGCTAAACTTCCTAATTTAGAAGCGAGATAGACGCTTACGCTTAAGCTTAAAGCTTTTAATTACTAATAATTCTATACCTATCTAGAAACCTAACATGCAGCGTTAGACTCTTATGTCTTACCTATAGCTATTATTACTTATATAATTATATATTCTATAATATATTTTATTTACTTTAGTATAAGATTCTATACTTATTTTTACTATTTAAAAAGATAGCTTAAATACTAACTTATATTTTAACTTATATATTATAAAAAGTAAAAAGTACATTAGTATACTTCTACTATTTTATATTACTACTAATATTACTTTAAATAAGAAAGATAGTCTTTACTAAAGAAAGCTAGTAACTTAGCTAACTTAAATAAATAAGTAGTATATCTACTATAGCTATTTTAGCGTAAAAAAAGTATTTACTTACTTAGTATAGACTTATACGCTATTAGCGTATACTTATTATAAATTATATTATATTATATACTAAGTAAGCGCTTAAAATAAAACTTATATAATTTAATACTTTATTAAGTATATAAGTTTATATTTATATTTATAAGTATTTATTAATAATACTTAGCTTATATAGCTACTTAGTAGTAAGTTACTCTTACTATATTAGTAAGTAAAAGCTAGTAGTATTTAATATTAATAAAAATATATAGTTAGATTAAAATTTTAAAAGTAATAAAAGTAGAAGAAAGTACTATAGTATATATATATTATATAAGTAATAATAATACTAAAGTAGTTACTTTATATACTCTACTTTTAACTTATATAGTTACTATATATATAAAGTTATACTCTAGAACTATTACTTTTATCTTATAGTATACTTAATAACTTATTATAATAAGTAACTTATAACTTTTAAAATTTATATATATCTATATAATTAGGTTCTCTTAAAAAGAGAAGTATTGTTAACATAAGAGCTTGCGGCGTTGGCCTGCTATGAACTCTGAGCTATCCGGGACTGTAGGGTCCTACATGACTCCAAGCACGTCCGTATATACCTTAAGCACACTCTTTTGATAGTCCACTGCGAGCCTGTTTTGTTCCCTCACAACGCCTATCATACCATACACCTTGTCTCGAAGGTCCTCACAAGCGTTTGCGGAGAAGCCATCAATGCATTGCGTCCACGTCAGTGTTATTCTTTCCTTCTGGGCATACATTGTGCTATTGAGGAGATACGTGGATGCGGTAGGGATTTCCAAACTTGGGTATGCGGTTATGTATGGATGGTACATGCTGCTCCATTCAATGCAGCGATTCCCGTTGAGATGAATGTTGACAGTCTTCGCAAGCAGTATCTCTTGTACTATCCACAGTCTTGTGAAGTAAATGTTATTCAATAACACTGTGATCGACGTAGCATCGAGATCCTGGTCGTTGAAGCGATCAACTTCCCCAGGCGGCGTTAAGGGCACGTCACCTAGCCAGATCATGACAGAGGCACCGGTGCTGTAGATACGCGACATCATTCCGACCTGGTGGTTTCGCTCCGTTGTATCCGCCTGCGCAATGCAGATTTGATCGATCCATAGCCATGTGTCCACGTCTTCTCGCAGCTCCAGTAAACACGAATTGAGGATGTCTCGGATCTTGAGCGTTTGTTCACCGATGAAGATATCGTGAAGAGGTGACGGTGGGCCCCATCGGTAGGATAGTGCGATGTATTCCGGGGCCTGCTCGAGCGGAAATACTTCGACGTCGCAGTGTACGGGGCCGTGTTCCTCTTTGCGAAGCTTGAGCAGGCGTATCTCGTCTAAGGAACGACTAAGTGGCTGGTGCTTGTATGTTGCGGACTCCGTTGGCGGCTCAAGGCATGCCTCGTGAGGCTCTCCGATGATTGTCGCATCCCGTTCGCACATCGCGCATTGTCTTTGGCTGTTGAAGTTTCGAGTGCGTCGTTATCGAGATGAGTTCCGTGTTGAAGCAAGGATGCATTCTAGGCAGACGAGATCTTGTTATGGTCTATGGCAGCTGAGGCAATGCGGGGCTGTGCAGCAATCGCGCGTGGTGGCGTTTTCAGCCTTCCAAGATTGGAAGCTCACTGCATGGTCATGTAGAAAGCGCATGAACGCAAGAACGGGGAAAGAGGATGCAGTAAGGAAAAGCTTTGTTCTACATAATTCTACAAGATAGGTGAGGTGGTGCCGACATGATGGTGTTGAGATCCATCTTCTGCCGCCGGAATCTAGCGTCGAGCACAAACCCCGATCTCGCACGACCTGAGCCACCGAAACACTAACACCAACACACAAACACAAAGTGAGCGACAGAACTACCATACAAAAGACCCAAGAACGCCTCCCAATATCGCGTGTGCGGAACATTCTAGAGATGCGGAACCAAAGTCATGTACTGCGCAACTACCAAGGGCAGACAAACACAGGCTGTCGCGTGTAATCGCCACACTGGTACTCGCCCTTCTCCGCATTCACATCGTTGGGATCCTTGTCGGCCGGATCGTTCACGCAGCCAATGACCCTCTCGCCACACCAGAGCGCTCCCGGGTCGTCGCCGTCGTTGCGGTACTCGCACACCTCTCCGTCAATCTCGAGATCGAGCTCTTTGGTGCCGCCAGGGTACGTTGTGCCAGACTCATCCCACGGTACAGTCTCAAAGGGCCGGAGGAAGTCTTCGCGGCACTCGACACCCTGCTCATAGTCGGCTTCGAGGAAGAGCCAGTCCATCGTGGGGGCGCCTGGAACATAGGCACCGAGCACTGCGAGCTGCTTGGTTGGGCCAGTCGGCTCTGGCTCTTGTTCCGGCTCTGGCTCGAAATCATCGCAGACGCCACGCCTGGCCTTCTTTGTAGGTGATTCTCGAAACTTATTGTGGAGGTCTTGGATGGCTTGGTCTACATCGCCCATGAATTTCTCCATTCCTTCAGTCTGGAGGGTATTGAGATCGCGGAATTCGAAGAGAGGCACAGAGCGCTCAGAATTGAACATCTTTTCTTGAGTTTTGCCTAGTCTTCCAATAGACCCGTCGATTTCCTTGTCGAACTCGGTGAGCTTGTCGTTTTCATCCGATTCTGGGTCTAGACCATGGATCCAGTCACGGATGTTGCATTTGGTATCGCCTTGAGCGAAAGTGTAGTCGCCAAATTTGTTGTCGGTAGGCTCGGGACTTTCGGGGGTACCTCCACATACGTCTGTATCAATTCTACGTTTGGTTAGACTGGTCAAACCATCTATAGGTCAAGCCATAACTTACTCGGTTCCGCCACTCTGGTAGCACGCAAGGATGTTGAACAAATCCCAAAGTTTGTCCCCCTTTGATGCCAACTTGGAGCTGACATGCGACAGCATCACGTTAAAATTCGTTCGAGGCGTGAACGATGTGAAGATCTTGGGACTTGAACCCGGTTGGAGAGGATCCTTTGCGTTTTTGGCGTACGATAAGACCAGGGTGCAAAAGGCCAGCACGTCATCCGTGGCCGCTTCCGGACCGATGCCGCCTGGGCTGGACTGGAAGTGATTCTTCGTTACGAAATCAAGCTTCTTGTTTTGAAAACGATCGAGCCCATTGAGGATATTTGGATCGCTCTCATCGAATTGTTCCTTCATCAGGCTGTACAGTGCCTCTAATGGCATCGGCGTGGTGATTTGGGGCTGGTAAGATATCTTCTCTGGTTTCCTATCTTGGCGGGTGATGATCGTCCACTTATTGCATTTGTTTTCGGCTACGTTGACCTTTCGTGAATCTGCGTCCAGTTTTCCGTTCCATGGGTACCAGTCAATCTGAAGGGGTCAGCAAGATTCATCACGGGTCTGCTGGGTGGCACCTACGAGATCCTGGGCCATAGCTGCCGCGACCTTCGCGCCGTTGGTCGCATCATCTGTGCTGCCTACTTTGACCTTGACACCATCAATGATGTACTCAGCCTGGAGTGCTCCAGGTTCGTTGACAGAGTCTGCAGTGAGCTCCCAGTTCGTGCCTGTTCGTTCGGCAATGACCTTTCTCTTTGCGGCGTTTGTATCGTCTGCGCTACATCCCGACTTTGTAAGGCGGAAGTCCGGACTCTCAAACTCGGCACCAATCCCGGCCGTCCCGTCCGTATTGACTCTGTCGGGATCGTCGGCCATTCCATCTTGGATGTCTAGCTGGCATTCCTCTAGGCGCCGTTGCAGAGGCGTACGGATCACAGCTGCAGACGCTGTAAGGACAACTGAGGAACATAGTAGGAACCGCATCGCAGAGGCTCGCTTGGCGCGCATGGCGAAGAGTAGGGAAATTGATAACGGATAAAGGAAGTAGGAGTTAACGATAATAGAGGTGATGATGAAGCAGTGAGAAACTGGCTGTGATGACTTGTGTTGAAAAGAGAGCCAAAACATGTCCTCTTTATAGCCCTGAAATGGAGATAAGTACCAATTCTGACGATCGCATTGAGCCCCCTCATGCTGAGATTGAATGCTGGAAATAGCATCTCCGAGAATGACTTCCTCATGGCTCGCATGGTGCGGGCAGACGGCCGCCCCATCTTGTTGCAATGGAGGCTTTTGCTTAGAAGAAGCTGATGATCAAAATACGAATACGAAGGAGACATGACGAAGACAGTGGAAAGCTGTGTATTTCGGGGGCGAAGATGAAGCGATGGTGGAGAAGAGGAATCGGTTGAGGGAGAGACAAGGCCCCAATCTGAATCACTGTAAGTCGCAAAGCAGGATTGTGAACGCCCCGTCTGAGTCAAAGGCGCTTTTTCTTGTCTGTTGAGTTGGTTTGGGGAGGAGTAGGAGTCGGTTCAGAATAAACCTGAAGCATAGGGCGAGGCCGGCTTGGCGAGGTAGTAAGCCTGGGCAGGGCCGTCCAATGGCCTCCCTTCCTTGGTCGCTAAAGGCTTCAGCAGGGTCTGTCCCAGGGGCATGACGTCAGCCCGAGACAACGTCTGCTATACATATCGCGGACCCCAAATCTCTCGCTTGATACTGTGCGCCTAACTAGACTTACCCCAAGGCTATTGTAATCATACCGCGTCCCTCAAGAGTACACCTTCAATGGCCAGCCCGGACCAAATTCAGACCCCAAGCTGAGTCAAAATCGCATTCTCCTCGTAACTAGACGTTGCATGTACCATTGTTTTCAGGATTCTTGCTCTCACGAAGTCGTCTACAACGTCGCTATGGCTTTACTGGAGTTAGCCGACGAACTCCTCGCGCTCATCGTCGACCATACGATTCCAGAGGGTTTCGAGAGCCTATGTCTGTCCTGCCGCAAGTTCCACACGCTTTGCAAGCCCTTGCTCAAGCACCACAACGAACTCCGCTCGCACTTTCGCAACTTCGATTATCTTCTCAAGGACAAATACCCTTCCCTCACCATCAGGACGCCGTTCGAACTCATAGCCCGAATCGCTGAAGAGCCAGTTGTTGCGCGCTACATCGAGCATGCAGATTTCAAGGCGGACCTTCGGCTACCTGTTGGCGGACGCCTCTGGATCATGGAAAGGGATGGCTATCGTCCTGAGACCGTTCGCGACTTATTTGCCAGTTCCAAGTACTTGTCAGGCAACGAGTGGCAGGACTACTTCGAAAAGTATGAACGAGGTCTGGAAGACAACCAATATACTCAGGCTGCCTCGTCGTTTCTTCTAACACTGCTGCCCAACGTCAAGACCGTGATTCTTCCATTTCGCTGGACTCCCGACAAGGAAACCGATAAGCTTTTTGAGGCCATCGTCCACCACGCGCGTCAACCCAACGCCACTTCGACCAATGCCAGTCTCGCTCTAGTCACCACCCTGAAGACTGGGTTCTCGTATGCAATGCGGCAAGGTCTTGTCCTGAACAAGATCACTCCGCTCCTGGCCCTCCCACGCATCCACACGTTCCACGGTCCCACCTCCATATCTGACATTGAAGCTCGCGAGCCCTCTTCTCCACGTCAACCAGTCCCGCCCCCTGTGGGCGGGACACTGGAAATAGCCTATCTGCGCGGCTGCAACCTCGATGGCCCCACTATGCAACACTTCCTGCGCTACACGCCGCGCCTGAAAACGCTCGTTTACTCTCACTCTGACAAGCAACTCAGTCGAGTTTGGGATATTTGCGACCTCGTTACGACTATCGGCAAGGAGGCTGGCAGCCATCTCGAAGAGCTGTCCATCACAAAGCGCGAATTCAGCGGCAAGATCGCGCTTGGAACAGCGACGATGCGCGACTTCCCGCGTCTGCACAAGCTAGAGATCCCTCTTGACCTTGCGACATGCGTCATTAGATCCGCCGCCCACCTCGGAACGGATCCTGCAGATCAGTCCCATGTCAATCTTCTGATGTGTGGCCTAGTCCCCGCTTCGGTCACTCGGCTGTTCCTAACATCAGAAGAGTGGAAAAGCCGTGACGATGACACCAACTCCACGGCCTTGTCAGAGACAATCGACGGGGTTCAAGTATTTGAGGGGAGACCGCAACAGCACAAGCAAACCCTGGAAACCATGTTTCACGGCTTTGCTGAGAAAAAGGACGAGCAGTTACCTTGCCTCAAAGAGATACGTATGTCTTGCCATTGGTCTGCCGACGAAGCTTTGAAAGCCCGATGCGAGAGCTTGCGCGCCGAGCTGGAACGTGTGGGCGTGGAAGCTCACATTCATGCTAATCGGTGGACGCAAGCGATGGATTATGCGGGGAGATCGCCGTAGATATCGTAATGCAAGTTTCTTCATCCATAGCTCTCCATGACTTTCGGTGCCTTGCTTGTATCCCTTTGTTGATTGCCCTGCGTTCCTGTCAGCGATTACGTCCTGCAGCTATGGAACGCCCCGCCGAAGTGGCAATGAGTTCAGCAACGCTCTAAACTGAAACGAAAGTATATGAAAGATGTGAGATCAGGCAGAGAGTCAGGGGCCAAGGCATGTAAATCAGCCATCCTTCGTAATAGCTGTTTCAAAGTGAATCGCGCGGGGGAAGAATAGTAAGACGGCGAGGCATCCATTTTCGGACACCAGCCGCGAAACGTCGTTTCTTGCGAATGGCCCAACAGGCCTATTCCATGTCTCGATAGCCAAGATGTAAGATGGTGGCACGAAAATACAATTTTCTCGAAGAGGAAAGA